CGTGACAGTACGGACAGACCACCGCTCGCTACAGTACCTTCGCGCCCAACCGAATCTCAACCCACGACAGATTCGCTGGTTGGACTATCTCGAGTCCAATTTTCACTACACCGTTACGTACAAAAAAGGCGCATCCAACATCGCCGACGCTCTCACCCGCCCCACCGCCCAACTCCACGCCATCCTACTCGCCCAGACCAACCCGCTTTTAACTGGCCTATTCACCCACGGATACCGCACCGACCCATTCTTCACGACCGGAAATTCACAGCAACTGGCAGAAGCAAAATGAGTTTATTACGTAAAAACAGGCACCAACCGCATTTGGGTACCCGCATACTCACTACTGAGGGAGCTGCTACTACAGGAGGCACACGACGGGATTACCTCGGGACATTTCGGGGTAGAAAAAACGCGACAGCAACTGCAGCGGTATTAATACTGGCCGGAGCTGTTGACCGACGTACAGCAGCACGTGGGCTCGTGCCCGACGTGTCAGGTGATGAAGAGTTCAAGGAAGCGGAAGGCGGGTCAATTGCAGCCGATCCCACCGCCCGAACGCGCCTGGCAGCAAGTAACCATGGACTTCGTCACAGGGTTACCTTCGAATCCTGGGGGTAACGACGCGGTGATGGTCGTCGTGGATAGGCTGACGAAGATGGCACACTTCGCTGCGTGCAAAAAGTCGATCTCAGTCGAGGAGACCGCTCGCCTGTTCATCGCAGCCGTTGTTCGCCTGCACGGGATACCAGCAGCAATTATCAGCGACAGGGACACGAAGTTTACCAGCAACTTCTGGAAGAACCTCTGGGAGCAGTTCGGAACCAGGCTACAGTTCAGTTCGTCGTACCACCCCGAGACCGACGGCCAAACGAAGCGGACGAATCAGACGATGGAGCAGTTGATTCGTGCCACGTGCGACGACCCCACGACCTGGGAGCAGCAGCTGCCGCTGATCGAGTTCGCGTACAACAACGCCACATCAGCCACGACGCAGGAGTCCCCGTTCTACCTGAACTATGGGCAAAACCCCACAGTGCCCATGACGCCGAGTCCGGACAATCCAACGCCACGTGCACAACAATTCGCCGAAATCCTGCAAGCTGCCCGCGCTAGAGCTGCCGAAGCAATAAAAAAGGCCAACGTCATCGCTAAGCGCAACGCTGATCGCCACCGCCGTCCTGTCACGTACCAATCTGGAGATTACGTGCTGCTTGACACGCAAAATCTGCGACTGCCCGACGTACCAAAATTACGACCGCGCTACTATGGACCATTCCAAATCAGTCACATGATCACACCCGTCACCGCGCACCTACTGTTGCCAACCGACTGGTACATCAGCCCTTCGTTCCATGTCAGCCTACTTCGCCCATACATCCCGACCACAAGTCAACTGCCGCGTCACCGGCCACAATCAATGACTCGCCCTGCATCAGAGCCGATCATCGAGCCCGATAAAATTCTGAGCCATCGGATCCGCCACCCCACGGGAATCAGGAGGATTGAATTCCTCGTTCGCTGGAAAGACCGCACGCCAACTGAAGATAGCTGGGTGCCCCTGAGCAACATCGAAAATCACCCTGCCCTGCAAGTGTACCTGAGGAGCCGGGGATTCCGCGATATACACGCACTCGCGTAGCGGAGGGGGCTTCTTAGGGGGGGGGGGTAGTGTAAGGAATTTTCTCGGCATTCCTTACGGGGCCGACTACATCGCGTACAGCAACAGCCGATTGTTCGCCCGTTACTGCTAACGGAACTTCGCCGACTTCGCGCGCACTGTTTTGCCAAACCTCGCACTGCTGGCATGGCCGTATCGGCCTACGCTTCGGGACTAGCCCGAGCCTCGCTCCAGCGTAGCACTAGCAAGCTCGCACGCACCGCGTTACCGTTTTGCATGTTTCGCGTATAAATGTTCGCTCATGCCTTCGCTCACATTTTGTACTCGTTTGACACCTTAGTGCAATTCTCGCTACTTCGATTCATTGCACCCGTAACAGCGCTACCTTGATACTAAGAGTCTCGCTACAGTTTTGACGAAAACAAGCTTACATTGGAGGGGGTCTAATCCGGGATGCATTACAAAAGGGGGGGTCTATTATGATGTCAAACTATATATGTTGGAAACAAGTACGGTAACTTAAGCCCCTCTGTCGTGTCGAAAAACCAAGTCAGAAGCGAAGCTAAACATATCGACGCATCAGCGAGTCAACCCTCGGAGGTTGAACAACTGTTGGAGGTTACGCGAAAGTCAAAGGTCAGCGACCTTTGACCTGATAAGTACCGTCATACCCCGGATATACCCCCATGGGGGGCACTAATAAAGCGTGTTTTTTTTAGGGGGTGGGCTTATAATATAGTAATTTTATAAGCGCCGGGGCTTATACAATGACTTATATGAAATCTAGTTGTTTTCACTTCAAAATGTTCATCTTGTCATTGCGATTTCAATCAAGTCAAGATCATAGTGGGTGTGAAGAAGAATCTTGCGTAAGTTTGCTAACTGCCAACACACACAGTCAGAATGAGTCATTTCGCCCCATGACAGCTCATTCTGATTGGACGCGCAGTCAGTTGAGTCGCGCGAGGGTCGGGCAGTGAGTCGCGCGAGGGTGAAGGGTCGAAATTTTATCAAGTGAGGATGCAAATAGTGTGTTTCGCTACAGAGATTCCACTAAGTTTATAAAAACTAATACAAATGGTGGCTCTTATAATACGTAAGCCTTCAGGGGGTGCGCTTATAATCGAGCACCGGATATAAGCGCCACACGCCAATTAAAAGCGCCAGGCGCTTATCCGCGGGTGGCGCTTATATCCGGGGTATGACGGTACATCGCAACAGCAAGGACAAACAACTGACTCGCTATTGAGCAGTTGCCCGAGTCGTCACTGTATCGAACCGCAACAGCAACAGCAAAACAGTTAGGGCATGTTCCTACGCTCTTATCAGGCAAACCTCTTGTCAGCCTTGCCTGGTAAAAGTAGCGAGGGTTTTTGGGTTTAGGGAATTTTCAGTGTGTTTTGACGTGAGCTTGATAACAGGTTGGCCTGATAAGGGGCCGTAGGAACATGCCCTTATTAGTTATAACCCTTCATATTCCCTTGTACTCTTATAAAAGGTTGTATCTCTTTGTTTTAATCAATCTACTTTGCCCTCACACACCAACGCAAAGTGGTTCACAAACTTCTCATTAAACGCTTCCGCTATTACATTATTCTACTCAGAGTTTAGTCCTGCAAAGATCCTAAGGGCTTTTCTCGGCCCAACATGGTATGAGAGCTGTCAGGACAAACTCAACTACGATCAAGGCACTTAGAACATCACAAGGCATGGCAACACAGAAGGAGAGAAGCTCCTCTAACGGCTCTCCCGGTACTACTCCTACTCCACCTCCTGCCTCTGGTCTACAGACAGAGGAAGTGACAGCAACAAGACCGGCAGCTGGGTCTACCGAAACTCCCGCAAATCAAGCCGCGGCCTTCGACCCAGACATGATGGAGAAATTCTTCTCCTTCATGTCCTTCTACGAACAACACCAGCAAGGGGCACCTGCGCAGTCAAACAACAGCAACAACAACAACGCAACACTGATGAGCCTCGACGATTCATCCTACGCACGAGGAAATCAACAACAACAACCTACCTTCGCCCCGTACGAACCTCAGCGCGGTTCTGTCAGCTTCATGCTGCGCCAGCAGCCTTCACCTGAGCAAGAGAAGACGTTAGATGCATTTCAAGTTCAATCGCAGTTAGTATATGTCTTAAAACAGCATACGTCAAGACCATTCGATGGAAATGACTTCTTTACCTGGTCATTCGAATTCGAGCTGATGATGGAAGGCGCGAAAATTCTTGGCTTCTTCGACAGGTCCCTGCCATACCCAACACACGGGACGCAATACGACAAGCAGCAGTATACATATCAATCCATGATGGCGTTGTGAAGAAATGAGGAATGAAGAAGAGAGGGGGTTCACTAGCAAACATTGGGATACATATAGCAAACCCTAAAAGGGTTGTACTCACTATAGAGTACCCCACTGCAGACTAGAGAAACATAATATTCTGACACACCCCCATAGTCAAAGTGGGGTGTAATCAGCACAACAAGCAAAGCAGAACAAGCTCACGGTGGATCACAATGTCACCACACATTCTGAGCACACGTACAAGAAGCAACAGTTTAAAGTTCACAAATGTAATCAAAGCTAGAGGCTATCGCAGAGGGCAAGTGTGGAGGAGGAGGGACTATGAGAGGAGAGGAGGTAGTGGGCGGCAGCTGAAGCTGCTGGCACACGGCGCAACTGGAGCAACTGGCACATGGGCAACTGGAGCAACTAACACATTGGCAACTGGAGCAACTGGCACACGGGCTACTGGAATAACTGGCTCCGCGACTAACTCTGAGTGGCAGGAGCAACAGACTCACGGGCGACTGGAGCAACGGGCTCACGGGCGACTGGCGCAACGGGCTCACGGGCGACGGGCGCAATGGTCTCACGTGCGACTGGAGCTGCGTGCTTCACGGCGGCCACCCCCTTCAACCTCCCCAAACTATCCCACCCCATTTCACACACCCCCTGCTGCACCCCTAGGTTCACTCACACCCCACCCCCTAACACCACTCCGTCGACTCCCACACACCCACCCCCCTTAGCGGCAGCTGCAGCAGTGGGAGACAGAGGAGGAGGGGGAGCAGGGGAGACCACACACCCGCCACCCCCTACTTGCCACCCCCAAACCCTAACAGAGGGCAGGGCGCGATGGCGGGTAGGGAGGTTACGGGGGGGGGGGGGGGGGAGAGGGGGGGGGGGGGGGGCGACGCGCGGCCTCCCAGGGCGCCAAAGCAGGCGGTAGAAGGGGCGACGCTCGCCCCCCCCCCCCCCCCCCCCCCCCCCCAGGTTGCCCCTCGCCCCCGAAGGAGCCGCGACGGGCGACGGGAAAAGGGGGGGGGGGGGCGGTGCACGTGCCCCCGGCGCGCCGCGACTGGCGACGAAGCATGGCCGGGGCGGGCCCGGGGCCGCAAGTGGCGGCGACGGGGCCGATAGGGGCGGTGATGGGGCCGCAAGTGGCGGCGACGGGGCCGATAGGGGCGGCGACGGGGCCGCTAGGGTCGGCGACGGGGCCGCTAGTGTCGGCGACGGGGCCGCTGGCGGTGACGACGGGGCCGCTGGCTGCGGCATCGAGGCCGATAGGAGCGGCGACGGGGCCGCTAGGGTCGGCGACGGGGCCGCTGGCGGCGGCGACGGGGCCGCTGGCGGCGGCGACGGGGCCGCTGGCGGCGGTGACGGGGTCGCTGGCGGCGACGACGGGGCCGATAGGAGCGGCGACGGGGCCGCTAGGGTCGGCGACGGGGCCACTGGCGGCGTCGACGGGGCCGATAGGGGCGGCGACGGGGCCGCGAAGGGGCCGCGAGGGGCCTGGAAGGGCGACGACGGGCCGCGAAAGGGGCGGCGTCGAGGCCGCGAAGGGGCCGGGAGGGGCCTGGAAGGGCGGCAACGGGGCCGTGGATGCTCTGATAGCATATGAAGAAATGAAGAAACATAATATTCTGATAGGCGTATACAATCCTACTGCGCAACGTCACACCGAACCAGCAGTAGAACATTCAGTCTTACCGAGGATACGGGAACTCCGCTGAGCTCGCGTACAACCACCTGAAGAACATGTATCAGGCAACAGACAGCGTTAATCAAAGTCAGTTAATGGCACAACTGACGACAGTGGAAATGAAACCGGGCGAAAAAGGGATGGCGTATATCAGCCGCTATCGCGAATTGCGTGACAAACTCCTTCGATGCGGAGGGTCGATATCAGCCTTCGTCACAGTCGTCATTGGCGGTCTTGGTCCTCATTGGCGCTCCACTCGCGCCATACTCTGAGTGTCACAATAGTAGCTAGAACAAGGAGCCATAGCTAGGGTTTACCTAGCTAGGCAAGAGAGAATTAGGCAAAGGAGGGGTTTCACTAGCAGTAGTTGGTGTGTGAAGCAAGGAAAACAGGAATGAAATGACTAAGTCAGAGTTGGGTACAAATACAACCCTAGAAAGCTGTACCCCATATGTGCTACCCCACTATAGCCTACAAACATGCATCAGCTATAATACTCTGACACACCCCCATAGGCTAAGTGGGGGAGAACAAGGGGTCACAAGACCAGTCAAGCAAAGCAAAGCAAAGCAAGCTCAGGGTGGATCACAAAGTCACCACACAGTCCGAGCACAAGAGGAGGGCCAGAGGCCAGTTCACATGCAGGAGTACAGACATATATATAAAACTAGACAAGCAAGAGCAGGTATATATATATATGTCACAGTACAAGTGAAGTCAAGAGGAGAGCAAGTGAGGCAAGACAGGTACAAGACCCAGCTGGGTGCAAAAGCGCTGATGGTCACAAGGCGCGAGTGCCTTGGTGAACACATCAGCAGTGTTGGCCTCAGAGGCCACGTACGCAAGTCGCAACTGACCACGCTGCTGCAGCTCACGAGCAAGGAAGTAGCGGAGAGCAATGTGCTTTGTTCTGTGCTCCAAGCGCTGCTCTCGACACAAGGCCAGCATGGCCTTGTTGTCTACGTACAGCACTGGAGGAGAACGAGGCGGCTCTCCAAGGTCAGTCAGCAGGTAGGTGAGCCAGCGAAGCTCCTGTGCAGCCATGGCCCCGGCGTAGATCTCAGCCTCACAACTGGAGCCGAGAACCGAAGACGAGCGAGTAGACCGCCACGAGACAGAGCCGGAACCAAGGCTGAAGGTGTAACCCTGTGACGACCGCTGCGTAGCCTGGTCGTCAGCCCAAGAAGCTCCCGCGTGGCCGGTAAGGACCACTGGACTCCGCCCTCCAAGCACTAGCCCCATGCCCGACGTACTGCACAGGTAGCGCAATACCCTCTTCGCTGCAGCCATGTGCTCTGGTCTGTGTCTCCCAGGAGCAACATAGCGTGCAAGAATGCTCAGAGGGTATGCAAGGTCAGGTCGTGTGCAGGTCATCAGGTACATGAGGCAGCCAACAAGCTCTGCATACGGACCACTCGACTCTACGGACTCATCCGAAGGCAGAGCTGAGAGTGAGTGGCGAGTAGGCAGAGGAGTGGCCTGAGGCGAGGAGTACGTGAAGCCGAAGCGCTGAAGGACCTGCTGCACCATGTGTGACTGAGTCAAGGTAATGGTGCGGCGTGCTCTGTCCCGAGTGATCTGCAAGCCAAGGTAGCTGCGCAGTTCACCCAGGTCTGTGCACGTGTGTCTCTTCAGCAGCTCGGACTTCACGTAGGCGAGTCCAGCAGTGTCCGCTGTGGCAAAGACCAAGTCGTCGACGTACACGAGGATGTAGAACGGCGGCAGGGAAATGTCGGTGCGAAGAAACAGCGACGGGTCAGCAGTAGAAGGAGCAAACCCAAGAGCCGCAAGCGTAGTCCTCAGTGTGTCGTGCCACTCACGCGGTGCCTGGCGGAGACCGTAGACTGGCCGTCGGAGGCTCCACTGGGTGCCAGGAGGGAAAGTCCCAGTGAAGCCAGGTGGACGGCGCAGCCAGATCTCCTCGTGCAGGCTACCCTGCAGGAACGCAGTGCTGAAGTCGAGAGAGTGAAGCTCGTAGTCGCGCTGAGCGGCTATGTGCAGCAGCACCCAAAGAGTGGTCATCTTCGGGGTGGGAGAGAAGGTCTGAAAGTAGTCAACTCCCTGCCGCTGACTGAAGCCACGAGCAACGTACCGCGCCTTGAAGACAGGTGGAGAGCCCGGCGGCCGCTTCACCCTGAAGATCCACATGCCACTGACGATGTTCGCCCCAGGAGGGGGAACCGCGTCAACGTAGGTGCCTGTGGACTTCCAAGAAGCCATCTCTGCATCCATAGCTGCCTGCCACTGAGAGGAGTAGGGACCCTCTACGGCCTCCGCGTAAGAACGCGGAGTCGGGATGTCTAGTGCATCCGGGTCTCCCTCAGGGGCAAGCAGTACAGACGCGAGATGAGGTGAAGCAGCCGCTAGACACTGTAACTCCTCCTGTCTGTCCTCTAGGACGTCCGTGCAAAGAGCACACTCACCCCCGATGGACGGAGGACAGACAGACGCAGACTCAGCAACAAGACTAGCAGCGTAGTCCAGACGACAGCGAGCAGCAAAGTCGACGAGCTCAGCGACTAGAGCAGACGCAGCAGTGGACTCAAAAGAGGGGTCAGTGACGACAGTAGCAAGCAGACGCGTGACAGTAGGACTGGCAGCACGAAGAGAGTCCGACTCAGGGTCGGCAAGCGCAGGAAGAGAGGACTCCAGAGGAGAAGGCAAAGGGGCACGCAGAGGAGCAGTGGACGGACGCAAAGACATCCGGTGCGTGCCAGGGACAGGAGGAGGACGCTGACGCGAACTGCAACCACTAGCGCGAGCAGCACGAACAGGCGACGCGGGACGAGACGCAGGCTCACGACGCTCAGCAAGACCTCCAGTAGGACCAGTGTAAGGAGAGGGAGCAGGCAGGGGAGAGGAAGGCTCCAGCAGGGACTGCGACTGGACAGGCGGTGGACCCTCTATTGGAGGAGAAAGACCAAGAACCTGCTGCAGGAGCGGAACGAAGTACGGCCGAGGCCGTGCGGCAGCTCCAGACGCAGCAGGGACAGCACCAGCACCCTCAGCGACAGCACCAGCGCCACCCAAACCTCCAGCGGCAGGACCAACAGCAGTAGGCTCAGCACCAGCGCCCTCAGCAGCTCCAGCTCCAGGAGGACCCGCAGGTCCAGCAGCTCCGGGACCGGCAGCACCCGCACCCTCGACGGTCGAAGAAGCTCCAGCTCCAGCTCCAGCAGCACCTCTAGACTCAGCAGCACGCCTCCAGCGGCGAGCGAACCACTCGCGCAGCTCCTGTGGAGAGAGGGGCTCCCGGCGAGACGCAGCAGTAGGAGAAACCCCAGGCTCAGCAGCCCCAGACGCAGCACCCCCAGGCTCAGCAGCTCCCAGCTCAGCACCCCCAGGCTCAGCAGCTCCCGACCCAGCACCCCCAGACCCAGCACCTCCAGGCACAGCACCCCCCGGCTCAGCACCCCCAGGCTCCGCACCCTCCGCAGTAGCACCCTCAGGCCCAGCACCCCCAGCAGTAGCACCCCCAGGCTCAGCACCCCCGCGCACAGCACCCCCAGAGTCAGCACCCCCAGGCTCAGCACCCGCAGCAGCACCAGAGTCACCAGTAACCTCGACCGGGTCAACGGCGTCTACCTGGGACACACCTGAGGGGGCAGGAACCTGAGGGGGGAGGGGGTCTACCGGGGGGGGAACCGGCACAAGGAAGTCCGGGGGAGGGGGGAGGGAAGGAGTGCGGTAGGGGAAGAGACGGTAGAAGGGGACTGACTCGTCGAACGTGACGTCCTGGGAGGACAGAACACGACGAGAGGAGGGGTGGTAAAACTGCCACCCTGGGGCGTCAGTGGGGAAGCCAAGGAAGACATAGGGAGCAGCACGAGGGGACAGCTTGTCCGCAGACAAGTCGCGGACAAACGCCCGAGATCCCCAGACACGGAACACAGACGCATCGCCAACCTTGCCCGTCCACAGCAAGGCTGAGGACATCGCAGGTCGAGAGACCCGGGGGTGAAGGTTGAGCTGATGCGCCGCGTACCTCACCGCAAACGGCCACAGAAAATGGGGGGCAGCCGCATGCATCATGGACGTACGAGCGACATCCATGACCATGCCAATGCGGCGCTCAGCAATCCCATTTTGCTGTGGTGAGTCCGGAAGCGTGAAGGTCTGGCGGATCCCCCGTGCACGACAGTAGTCCCGCAGAAGGCGAGAAGAGAACTCTCCGCCTCTGTCCGAGTGCAGACGCAAACAGGAAAGTCCGAGCCGAAGCTCTTCCTGAGCTGGAGACGAGCCTCGCGGATCCAGTCGATCAGCACCTCAGTGACCGCACCCTTGCTGCGCAAGGGGAGGACTGTGGTGTAACGCGAGTAGTCGTCAACCACCAACAGGAAGTAGCGCTCGTAACCCTGCCCACGGACGGGGGCTGGGCCCCACACATCCATGTGAAGCGTCTGCAGGGGAGCCTCTGTCGGGGGGAAGTGGGAGGAGTGAGGAGTAGCCCGGAGGCGACCCTCGACACAGGGGACACAGGAAGGTCCTGGCGCGGAGGGGAGAGGAGGGAGAGACTGGGGAAGACCAGAGACAAGGACACGGGAAGCCATGCTCCGAAGACGGGGCAGGGAGGGGTGGCCAAGACGGTGGTGCCACAGGAGAGTCTCGTGAGACAGGAGGCGACAAGAACAGGGGGCAGACTCAGGACCTGACCGGGACGCAGCAGCAAGCACCTGACCCGACGCAGCCACCTGACCAGACGCAAGGACAGGAGGAGACTCAACGGTCAGGGTGTAGAGACTCGACCCCGGCCGACGCGAGAACGTGGCCAGGTGTCGGCCTGTGCGTGCCTCCGTGCAGTGGGTCACCCGCTGACTCGTAGGAGTGAACTGGTGAACCCCCACATCCTGCAGGTCCGCTCCACTCACCAAGTTCGTAGAGAACGAGGGAAGGTACAGACCCGACAGGGTGCCCGAAGGGGCAGCCGGACACGGGAGGACAGTGGAGAAGTGAGACAGGACAGGACCCCCAGAGGGGTCAGCAAGGGAGACCG